TGCTGAACACACCGCATTTGCTAAATTTGCCCTAAGGAACCGGCAGATGTTCTCCTGGCAGACATCGGCACGCGACTGACCTCAGCCCTTGCAAGAATATTCAGCCACTAACGCTTGCCATTTTGAAATAACAGCAAGAGCACACACACCAGCACAAAGAATAGTCCCCATCACAAATTGCCCGCGACCAAAACAGAGTCGGACATAAACTAGCAAACAAATCGAAATAGCCTGAGCAAAGGGAAAAGGTTTTCCCACATGCTCCTTCAGTAAAACACATATCGGGGCCACTTTCGGATTTGCACAGGAAAGGGCTGAAGAGCAGCTGGCTGCAGTAATCTGATCGGGAGACAAAGGAATGCCCCGTCGGTTCTAGGATCACAGGTAAACACACAACCTTTGTTATGAAAATGAGGGGCTAGGATAGGGCCAGAGCAGATGATTTGCGATTTGAAAAAGGGGGATGGGGAAGAGCTGCTTATCTATCATCTGGCCTCTCTGTGTGCCAGCTGAGCCACGCGACTGCCCTTTCTTATTCTAATCAGCACATGCCTTTGCAACTTTCTACAAACCTTCGTGCTAAACTTCTTTAATCCCCCTCACAAATATAAACATGCGAATATCCAGCCGAAAATATAGAGCAATCATATTAACCCCATAACTGTTTTATTGTAATACATCCCCTTCTGCCCTTCCATCCGAACTCACTACCCACCCCATTATTTATACAGGACTGAGTTAAGCTTCCATTGCATAACACTGAAGAGGAAAAATCTTTTCCCGCATCAGCGCTTCGTCTGCCACTTCCCAGAGAGGAGGCGACTGAGTTTAAGTCTTCCAGATCAGAAATGTGTAGAAGGATAATATAACACACACCACGTCCTGGCTACCTTATCAGAAAAAAGCACCATTTCATTGCCTGGAAGCCAATGGTTTATGTGGAACTATTTCCAATCACATCTCCTTACCTTTACTGCCATAAAGCATGAAGACGATCTTATGTTTTAATGAATGGGCTTCTGGACATTCAGATGTATTATAAATATACTTTTATGTGAAAGAATTGTGTATATTAGCATGCCAGCTGATGTTTTGTTTACATAGCTACACACACGTAAATAATATACACCCAATTAAAATATTATACACAATCAGCCTCACATAACTACACACATCCACGTACGCATGCATGTGTCGACATGCACCATATGGCCGTGCTTTATACATCTCTAGAAAAAGACAAGCCAATAGCTGGAGAATAAGCAGCATCCTGTAGAAACTGAGGCGTGTTACTAAGCGTAATTAATAGAGACTAGGCAGCGACTGTGCCTATAATCTGACATGGTTATAAATAAAAGATTATTTGACGGATTGAAAGTTTTCGGGCTTTGTTGTTCTGTGGTCGGGCTGTACTTCTTGGTAGGGAAGGAGGGGAGCCTGTCATGACAGGATGCTATGCATTAAACTATACAGCATCCAGTCAGCTTGAGAGAATGCGAGATCTGAGCTCTGTAGACTTGTTTAACGATAAGGCTCGACCTTTTAGCCCTAACACGTTTAAACCGTGGAAATGTCTTCTGTTTCTCTACCTAATGGAACTCGTTTTCTAATAAATACATCATTCGGGAAAGCCAGGTATTACATCTGATTCTCTTGAATTGCCAACATTCCATTCACAGGGAATTTTCCCTTTTCTACCCCGGTTGCCAATGCCTGGCATGATCTTCTCTCCTTAACGAACCTGACTTTGCACAGTACAATGGGCGAGGCGTCAAAAAGTATTTAAAAGCGGGTCCCAGCATTTTCTTAACGGGGAAGGTGAGGATTTATTACCTCTCCCCAACCTCAGGACTTTGGCCGCTGTGGCCATGCCAGTGATAGTCTGCTTAACATGCTTCAACGTAAGCTGTCTCTGCATTTGGGGCGCTCGGGGCTAGAGATGTAAGTGTGAGGAGTATAGAGACATGCAGTTGGGAGTGAAAAAACGCCATTTGGTTAGGAGCAGATGGCTGGCTAGGGGGTTGATCGCGTCTAAAGGCGTGTCATCCCCCTTCAGCTCGAATCCCTAAGGGCTCCCCTTGTCTTTAAAATCAATGAAAATCAAAGTGCAGAGAAAGGATGAATAGTTAGACCTCGAGTCCCTCCTTTGTTCGTCCCAGCTACTGGTGGGCAGGAGTTAAACTACAACAGCCTCCTATAGAAACACTTAAGTTAAACAGTCTCCCCGTTAGCCCAGCATCTGAAAGAGAGAGGGAGAGGGGGGGAGGAAAGAAAAAAAAAATAAGAGGAGCTTTCTGCTTGATTTCCCCAATACAGAATCGCGTGGCATAAATTAAGTTGGAAAAGAATAAGTACATTGGGCAGGGTTCTGATGGATTTTACGACGCCTTTCAGTTACGCTTTGCAGCCGTAATCGAGAAATCTGTGCCACGTCAATTTAACAAATACTTGATGCAGAAGGGGGGTTGTTAAAGATTTTGGGCAAGTTTTTTTTGTTTAAGCCCTTGCGCGTGTAACTTTTTATTTACAGGTTTTTAAGCAGGGTACAAATGAATGAACTTTCTCCCACATTAAAAGAGCTGCGATGATAGATCACTTCTAACCTATGACTACATAGACCCCAACTTTAAACATATTTCCCCCTCCCACATGCCCAGAAAACTTTAGGAACCAGATTTGCTTTCTTAGGGAAAAAGACTGCAGCAAAATTCCAGAAGCAATGGCAACTTGGCAAGCCCTTAAAAAAGATGTTGACGCTAGGTGGCAAGAGTAATTTACAAGTTAAATCTAGCGCTGGGCTTCAGTATCCCCCGGTAAACATACCCCCGTGTTCCTTAGTTAAAGGAGGTGAGAGTGTAGGTAGATTTGTACCCTCTAGGCATAAACCGACTTAATGAGCCCGATCCGGCCGTCTTTACTCAGGCAAAATTCCCATCGATGTTCATAAGAGACTTATTCCTGTACAGTACACATACGATTTTATTATCGAGAGGGGAAATACCTGGGCATATAAATTATACTTTTGACCAAAGTTATATTTAAACAAAGGGAGATTTAAAAGGTGAAAGGTTGCGCATGTTTTGATACCTGTTTGAATGGCACAGATACTCGGAAAGTTTTGATGCCAGCGGAGGAAAAAAGGCTATGCTGCGCTGGGAAGTATACTGTTACAGTCATATAATAGCCAGGATGAGCTAGGCTGAATGCATTCATTAGTGATTTTCTTTTAATTGGTATTAACCAGTGATTTTACTTTAAGAAGTGTTTGAGAATTTTTTCCAGTGCTTTGTAAGATAATTTGTGATCAAGACATCTGCTTCAATGAAAGTCACATTTTGCCATGCAAATGCACGTTTCAACCCAATAAAGTAGCCATAATAAGGCTTTTAGCATGGCATACCTACAGTGAGGTTATTGTAGCCAAATCCTCTCCTTTGCACACAAGCTTAATCTGTGCTGAAATGCTCTGTTACAATTAAAATGACATTTACACAGACAGTTACACCTTGCATCCTAATGAATCCGCCTTCGTCTATCTAGGTGCTTGAAAAGGGCCCAAAACAAAATGAAAACGCATCTCCAAAGTCGTATCCCAGAGTCGGCTACACACTTTTATCTTCAACTTTCAGCCATAATTAAGAAATTTCGCAGTGAGAAGGCTCCCCCCCAGTAAACTCTTGGCCACGTTTTTAAAATCAAAACAAAAGTTCTAGTGTCCAATAGACAGTGTAAAAAATAGTAAGTTGGCGGTTGGTGTCAAGTTGTTGTTTTTTTTAATCTGGGAAAAGGGGGGTGAACTGGACGGGATTTCTTAAAAAAAAATGTGCGGACATTGTTGTAGAGGCAGTAGCGTGCGCCGAGGGGAGCTCTTTCTCTCCCTTGCATTGTGCAGGGAGCAGGTGCTGTCTACATTACCATACAGCTGAGAGCACAAAGAGCCAACTGATTCAGCCCTCACACAATAACAAACTGCCTTAATGACAGCCACGCGAACGACACACACCAAACTCACTTTTTACTAAGCTGAAGGAGGGGGGAAAAAAGGGAGAGAGGCTGATGAGGAGGCTGATAATAATAATATAGGGATATGGGACTCAAATGGGCTTTGCTAACTGCTTCCTTCGGCAGCTCGCAAACCATTCTCAGCGAGGAGAATTTTTTTTTAAAAAAGCCCAAATGTTTCCCCACCCCCTGAAACTTAACACATGGCTCTTCCCCGTTTTTCTTCGCTCGAAAATATCTGTAGTGTATCCAGATCGTTCTGATCGGCCAGTAAGCATCCTGCCTCTTTCACCTTGCAAACTTCGAAACGCCAGATTCTCTATCCCCTCCCCAGAGAGGATTATTTTAGCACCGTTAACGTGCTCCCTGAATGTAGCCTGGTTTTAAGAAACCGGCGGAAGGAGAGCACCAAATCTCTTCTTTGGTCCCACAAATACATTCGTGTGTGCGTGTTTTTTTTTAATGATCTAGGTTATAGCGTGGGGAAGACAGTGTGAATTTAAATAGATCGGATTTCTCCTGTGTGTCAAGCTCATCCTCCTCCCTCCAAACCCTTTAAGGTAGAGGATATCCTTGGAAATGTACATTATTACCAACAACTTACTTTTCTGGGGCACAGTGGTGCTTTTGCACATTTCAAGAGGTAATTCTAGATCTTAGTGCTTGGAGCTCGTTTTCTTGCTGGGGTGTATTGCTCGCTCTCTTTCTGTGCATGTTGCGAGAGGGTGTTACCATCTCCCCAGAGCAGAAGGGGGATTCTTGCGGTTACCAAATTTGCAGGAATGTAAATGAGCGCGTTTGGTGAGAGTCGGGAGGGGAGAGGGGTAAAGGAGGAGGAGGATTGCACATTTTACAGCTCACTGACCATTTGGCGATCCATTGAGAGGAGGGTTTGGAAAAGTGGCTCCTTTGTGACAGCTCTAGCCAGATTGGGGGGCTGCTCATTTGCATCTCATTAGCCATGCAGGAGGCCGGCGGGATATAAGGAAGGCAGGCGCCTGATGAGAGGCAGATCCATAGTGCTTCACACTCGGAGAGAGCCACAGCAAAGCTCACACACGCGAGGAGAGCCCCAGGAGCACACACGGGCGCGCTCAGGTCGCTTTCATTAAGACATTCTCTGATTTTTTTTTTATAAAAATTGGCTTGGATTCCTTAACAAAAAAAAAAAAAAAAAAAAGACACCACAAAACATAACGAGATCGATCTTTGCTTCTTGCGAGGAGGGGATGAGTCCAACGTGACCTGCAAATTGCTGCTGCTGTTTGACACTTCCCAGCCCCTCATCTGCGCGGAGCCAGCTCCGCGCACGCGGAGAACACTCAGCCCCCCCGCCCTCGCTCCGCTCGTTTGAAGGCACCGGGAATTATCGCTTCCTCCTCTTAGTCTACAGGGATTTCCAGATCGCTGATTTTTAATCTTCCACGAGAAGCCTTTTCTCTGCCTCTGTTGGGAATTAAGTGGCTTTTTTTCCGTTTTGGCTGGTGGGGAAAGAGAAGCTTTAGGCGAAAGGAGAAACGCACTGAATTGGAAGAGGAAAGGAGAAAAAAGTTGCTGTTTAGAGTATCAGTCTTAACAAAACAGGCTCACCTCTTTTTGCCACCCAGAAGGGCTGTCAGTCTCCCCAAGAGCATCACCAAGAAAAAAAAGAGAAAAAGAGACTCTTGAGAGAGGCAAACTTTAACACTAACTCCACTGGCACAAGAGGCTTCTCCAGCCCAGGCTTCTTGAGAGACACTTGATTTTTTTGCTCGTGAAAGAAAGGGGAAAAGAAGGAAAGAGAACCCCTCCCCTCCAAAATGGGAGGTCAGTCCATGCTGACTCTTGCCATCCTCTCGGTACTGCTTTGCCATTGCCAGGTAAGTGGATCTGGGGTGCTAGTCCTGCGCGCTTCAATGCACAACAGCTCACTGGGGGGAGAAGGGGGAACGAAGGGGGTGCGCCAGCGGGTGGCTGGGAGCGAGGGATGCGGCAAACTGTGGAGCCTCCTCTCTGGCGAGGAGGAGTCTGGTCCCCCAGCCCTGCGGGTGGCGGCTCTCCGTGCAGCCGCTGGGAGCGGAGCCGGGGGGTGGGGGAGAAGGCTCCAGCTGCACGGTGCGCCCGCGTTGTGACCCCCTGCCCTCCGCGCCGGCGGGAGCCTTTTGACGAGCTGCGTGTCCCCCCCTCCCCCCGCAGGTGCGGTGCTCCGGGGTGTTCGAGCTGAAGCTGCAGGAGTTTGTCAATAAGAAGGGGCTGCTGGGGAACCGCAACTGCTGCCGCGGGGGGAGCGGCGGCGCCGGGCTGCAGCAGTGCGACTGCAAGACCTTCTTCCGCGTGTGCCTCCAGCACC